ATACCAAGTCCCTGTCCCATCATTGCCCAGAATCTTCTAGAACTTTGAAGGCCTTCCCTGCAGTCACTGCTGGTGATCTCTACACCACCCAACAAGTGCCCTTTAAACTATGAACACTTCCATTTCTGGTGCTCATTAATATCCACTCTTGTCACAGTGTTCTTAAAGACCCTGACAGTTTTTAAGGTCAGAAATCAGAGGCAATAGCGACGCGGATTTGGCCTGTTCTTATCATGTGACCCACACCCATGAGGCCATCTAGAAAGAAAGATATCCCCACTGCTGATAATACCTGATTAAACATGCCCCTGATGTGTTGGGCCTACTAAAGCTATCTGACCTTGAACTCAGGTAGCCATTATGAACACTACATTGCAAGGTCCACCAAAGGACTCAACAGGCTTTAGGTCGGGGCTTCACAGCTACCCCAGAGGGATGTTCACGGAGCCCAGAAAATAAGCCATTGCTCCCTCAGTCCTCTTAATGGAAAGGACATCAGACAACACACTTGAGGGCTAAAGCTCTCCGAATTCTAATCAGGCCTCCTTCCACAGATACAGGCATTCTTCACATAGTCTATTTCCAAAGCTTGTCCTACTTGTCAGAGCAATCCCACAGGAACCAGCAGACTCCATCTCCTTTTATAGCCTGTCCAGTGTCGGGGACTATGCTGGTAGATTGGCAAACAGATGCCACTGACATCCTTCCTGGTGCAAAGGATGAAAATATGTACTAGTTCTAGTGCATGCCTTAACTGGGAGGATGGAAAACTCCTCACAAAAATAGAAAGGGCCTCAGAGGTAGCTAGTAACCACAGGGCACCGTATTTTCACTTGGGGTTCCCTTGGCCCTTGCAGTCTGGCCTGTCTTTCATTTCCAATGTCATTAGGGAATGAGTGATCTCAAAATTATGTATTGTCTTTATGCAGCCTGATGCTCTCTATCTTCTGGCAATCTCACCTTTATGGCAGGGTCCTCCTCTCATTGTGTTAATATCACCAAGACAATCACTGCTGTTGCCACAATCTGAGACAAGCATCTCCAAAAATGCTTTCAGGATCACCTCGTCACACTAACTTGGGAGACTGAGTCCATCTTCTTACCTTCCCCACAGGATAAAAGGTCAAGCTGTCTGAACCTGACCCTATCATGTCCTCCTAATGTCCTCAACCATTGCCAAGTTACAAGGCCTGTCATCGTTATAGATACAACCACCCATAGTAAAGAATGTCCCCTTACCCCCAATTCAAACCACCTATTCCCGAGAGCTACCTGGGGGTCTCCATCCTCTTTGCATCCAACTCCAGGTGAAATCTTCCTTCAGATACCTCCAGACCCCAATATATTAACTGACCTAGCTCATGACTTGAACTGTAACTCCTACCTTTACCTTTTACCCCAACATCACTGGCCGCCTTGGTTGAGCACAGGGCTCCTTATCACACTCATCATTACTATTAAATGTCCTATCTGTCTCTCTCAAATCACCCTATGGAGTTGCTTTTAAGCACCATTGGTTTCGTTCTTCCTTTATTATGTTCATAGCCTTTTTCCTATTGTCATAATTCTACTCTGTGCCATCCACCCCTCCTTCCTTCACATTCTGGCATAATTGGCATCTTCCAGGTTATAGGTCATTAAGCACCAGACAATACTGTGTCTGGGATAGCAACCATTGCCATTTACATTGATACCCACCTTCTATTATTGGAAGCCTCTTGACCTCCAAACGATGTCACAGTCTAGACTTCAACTTTCTGTGACACCACCCACTTCAAAAACAAGACTCAAACCTTTTATGTCATATGCTCCTATGAATCTGTGGCAGAACTGCAATGTCAGCCGCCCCCCTCCCCCTGCTCTTTCCCAGCTCCCAAATAATTCCAGGAAAAAGGAGATCTTTTTCCTTTGTCAATGATTTGGCATTGTTGATCTGCCAGGGCAAATGTAGAAATAAAAAGGCCAAAAGTAAGCTCTCCCCCAATAAAACTAAAAATGCTTTACTCTCATGATCAGATTCTAACTGCTTAGAGCTTGACCCAGTGGGCTCTAAGTAATATAAAAACAATGATAGCCTAATTCCCAATGGCCCCTGGTACCTCATCCCAAAGGAAGAGTCCCAGGAAGGACAAATGAACTCATAAAATTTACTAGCTACCCTGACAGTGGGTTGCCAACTTCTTATCTACTCAAATGTGACCCCCCCCACAATGTCCTGGTCATTTTTCTTACCTGATTTTAAAGTACCCCATTGTCTTTGAGGGGCACAATTCTCTTTCTCTCAGAATTTACCCATTGTGTTTTAACACTTTTGAAACTATGCAATAAAACTTCTGTGTTGGTGCTGGGAAGCTGGCCCAGCAGATAAAGTGCTTACAGTATATTATATATATGTATCTGTGTGGGGGTATTTGTATGATATTACAGGTGTCCTCAGAGGCCTGAAGGAGTATCAGCTCTCCTGGAGGTGGGTGTGAGCTGCTCAGGGGCACATATACACTTTTATCTCAATTCTTAACTCGTATATACTTTTCTACTGATGCTTTGGTCTTGGGGCAAAAATCACAATTTTA